CATGGTGGAATACTTCTGTGCCCTTATGCAAAGAACATGATATCTCTTTTCTCCGTTGAACTTAGTGTTCTTCTGTTATTCAGGTCCACAGCAGTAAGTGATGCGGGCATTACAGCCATTGCTGATGGTTGTCCTGCACTTGAGATGATCAATATAGCTTATAATGATAAAATTACAGATAAATCATTAATATCATTGTCAAGATGTGGGATGTTAAAAGTACTCGAGATTCGTGGATGCCTTGGTGTCTCGTCAACTGGTGTATCAGCCATTGCTGTGGGATGTAAGCAACTTACAGTGCTTGACTTAAAGAAGTGCTTCAACATTAATGATAACGGAATGCTTCCGCTTGCTCAATTTTCCCAAAATCTGAAGCAGGTATTTTACATTCTCAAGTTCTTATTCTTGTAGATTGGAACATTATGGAGTAATGTTGGAAACTAATAATGTCCTTCGCTTCCTTGCATTGCAGATAAACTTGTCATATTGTTCTGTTACGGATGTTGGGCTTGTGGCACTTGCTAGCCTCAGTCGCCTACAAAACATGACAATCTTGCACTTGGCCGGCTTGACTCCAAATGGCCTGGCAGCAGCCCTGTTGGCATGCCGAGCATTAACAAAAGTGAAACTCCATGCATCCTTTAGGCCATTACTTTCTCAATCCATTCTGGGGTACATGGAAGCCCATGGGTGCGTCTTTCACTGGAGGGACAAAGCTTTTCAGGTAAGTGTTTATTCACATCTTAAAGAAGCATAATTTTGAAGAATTTGAACTTACATAAGATAACATGTAGTTTGCTCTGTAAATATAAAAGGTCAAGTTCAGAAAAACCAGCAGCTTTCCTGATTAATATTGGCCCAGAAGCAGCTATTGTTAACATCAATTTATAATTGTTTTTAAAAGGATAGGTAAGCATGAAACTGTTGTCCAGTCCCCCTGTTCTTACATTAGATTCTTGGCAAATTTTCAGCATGCTAGGGGAAGTTATGTTGTGCTTTCCAAGTATTCTAGTTTTGACACTTGCAATTCTGCCTCATTCAGCTAATGATTATGTTGATATACTCCATAATGACTCGTTATTATGCTGTACTTATTAACAAGTGATTTTCAGAAGTTGGGATTATTAAAACGAACCCTATAAAGTAATCTTGAAATTTGTAGACCATATGAAATTGTTTTTTTTTCTTTTACTTTCGAAGACATTATTACTACAAACATCATGATTTATGGAAGTAAAACTTCTTATGTATGTTTGACAGAAGGAAATGGATCCCAAGGGATGGAAGCTGCATTTTGGAAGGAATAGCAATGAAGTTCCGTAGTTGCAGAAGGATGCATGCCCAGGTCGTTGCTATTTTCAACTGAATATGAAAATGAGTTTTTGTTTATCTTGAAGTAGGCAGAAATTGGTTGCAAGACGTTACTGCTTGGGCATGGGGTGTGTCAGCCTCGTAAAGGAAGTGTGTTAGTCAGTCAAATGCCTGCTACCCGGTCTACAACTAATTAAAGAAATTTTTTTTTATACATTGTCCAGAATTTAATTAACAGACAGATATGATGTAAGAATCCGAGGCAACAGCAGAAACAAGTTTTGGAGGATATGCAAGAAATTGATGATGGTCATATGGCACTGCATTTTGTCACTGGCACAATTTTTTTTTAGTTGGAAAATTTATATGATGATGATCCTATTGATAATATATGGATCATTTTTACACACGTCTTCATCTGTTCTGGAAAAACAGTTAACAAAGGGAAACTCCCCAACACGATTTACTTCCAGAGCTGTTTGGAAATCCCCCATTGGATAGACTTTTCTTATCTTTTTGGGCTCAAAAGACAGATAGAGATGCCCCCCCTCTAGACGTTATGATAATGATGCTTCTTCTAGATTGCAAGTTGTAGGAATTATATTTTGGACTGGCTTGGAGCAAGGAAAGAGAGAGGAAAGTGAAGAAAAAAAATCCCTTTTATTTGGACAAAGCAGTTTATTTAAACAAATAAGGGTAAATTAAACAGATGATCACTAAAGTTTGAGTAAGTTAATGTTTTCCTTATTGAACTTTCAAAAGTTATAAATTGGCCATTAATGTTATCTATTTGTTATAAATTAGTCATTCGTCGTCAATTATCTTTAACATGGATGACGAAAAACTGAGCTGGACTTTTGACGCTTACCTGGACCGTTTGAGTGCAATAGGAAATGGGTGAAAAACAGAAAGTTTGATCGTTAATCGCATGGAGTCATTAGACTTTTGCCATCTTCTTCTCAACCCAGTTCCTATTGCACTTAAACTCCTTAAAGATTAAACCCCTCTTAAAGATTAAAACCCTACCCAAGTTCGAGGGTGATTATTAGGCAGCAACGGTGATGCTTAGCCTGTAGCACCTTGTACCAGAGTGATGATTGGAGGTGGCGAAATGTTCAGTCTAGTATCATGTGTTGTAGGTCTAAACATCACCGTTGACGTCCCATAATCACCCTCGGACTTGGGTAGGATTTTAATCTTTAACAGGGAGTTTGAGGAAATGGGTGAAAAAGAAGGAAGTTAACATGAAATATAAGGAGGAAAAAGAGAGCGAAAGTTCAATGACTTCATGGAAGCAGTTAATGGTTAAACTTCTTTTTCTTTTAAAATGAGATACGTGTTGTTCGGGTGGTTGTTTTTATTGGTTTGGGGGGGGGATTAGCGGTTTTTCTCATCCGTTAGATCATTGTAATGAAGAAACAACTCTAATTATTCTCTTAAAAAAATGTAATGATGCTTTTTGTGCAGCTAATATTGTTGGTTATTTAACAAAACCATCTCCTCCACGTAAGTTTAGCGTCCCTAAAAACGAAATATACGTCAGCAGACAACAACATTATTAACAATACAAAATAGCATACGAGGCTCTTGTAGTTTAGAAAAATTAACGTGGTTATTAAATTATTTTTTGATCTGATATTATCTTTCAATTTAGAATATAAATTTAACTGATCTTTTAATTGATTTTTATCAATGTTTTTATCTTTTATTGTTATGGTGTTGACATGGTAATTTACGATACTAATGTGACATGGTGGTTCATGATAGTTTTTTGTTTTTGTACACAAAAGTTTAGGTTGGGTAGCTCCCAGTCCAGGGTCAGGACATACCTAAGATCCAATTGGGATTTACATAGGACTTTACAGATTGTCCACTAAGAGTGAGGGTGGTAGGATTTGAACTTGGCCTTACAAGCTCAATTTCCTGAATCTCAACCACTTGTGCCAACACTCGTTGGCGTGGTTCATGATAGTTGATGATCGGATAGATAGACTAAATTAGCTTTTTGATTTTATTTGAATGTTAAATTAGTTTTGTCTAGTTCAGATACTTATTTAATGTTTAGAAAAAATAAAAATTATTTTACATTTAAAATATTAAAATATCAAAAAATTAAATATAAAAATACTAAAAATAAATAAATATTAAAAATATTATTAAAATTAAATAATTAAATATACAAAATAAGTTATAAAAGCATAAATTATAAAAAATTAAGAAATTTAAAATATTTTTAAAAAGATATATTGTACATAATATGCATATGTATAACATATAGTCATATCGTTAACATTTATATAAAATATTATTACTAGATTAGTCATACTTACAAATTTTTATTTCTAAATATAATTAAAGAATACATAAGTTTTTGTATCAATACACATATCTAATCATACTTCAAACAATTCTAAGAAGTATTAGTAAACTCTTGTATATCGTATAATAAGCTAGTATATAAAATGATATTTAAAAATTATTTGAAATATGATTATATTTGCGTATTGATACAACTTACGATGTTTCCTAGATATATTTAGATACAAAATTTGTAAGTCTCGACTAGTTCAGTCATGATATTTTGTACAAGTGTTGATAATATGATTATGTATTACATGTATATATTATGAATAATATATATTTTAAAGTATTTTAATTTTTTTAATAATTCATCATTTATTATTTTATTATTTATGATATATATTTGATTTTTTAATTTTTAATAGTATTTGTAGTATTTTTAATATAAATTTACTTTTTTTTTCAGTAATTTAATTTTTATTTTGAGTATTTTAGTATTTATTGTTTTTGAATATTTTATGTTTTAAATTTAAAATAATTTTTATTTTCAAAAAATTAAATAAGCTCTTGAACTTTTAAAAAAACCAATTTAGTCCTCAAACAAGATCAAAAAACTAATTTAACTTATTTGTTATGTCATTTGCCGCATCTTCAATTATCATGATTCGTGAAATTAACACTGTGAATTACCATGTTAGTATCGTAAAAGTCAACGATAGAATGACCACATTAAGAATAAAATTAATTTGAGGACCATATTATTTTAAAAAAAATACAATAGCCTCAAACGCCTTTTTACCTACTATTACTACTAATAAAAACTATAATAATAATAAATTTATCATTATCGTATGATGAATTAATTATTTTAATATTTGTAAAGTATTTTAGATGGAAATTATTAATTAGTTAATTACCAATAAATTTTTATTGAATAAACACATTCGCGAGATGAAATGTTAATGTGACATTATTAGATATGACGTCAATATGGTTAAAAAATAATAAATTTATTAGGAAACAATTTAAATTGAGGACAACATTTAAGTGAGAAAATAAATAATGGCCAAATTAATATTATCATTATCAATAAAAAATCTAATTATGTGTCTTGTCTTGTTATTTAGATTACGCTGATAAGCTTTATGGTAATTAGTTAGTAGATGAAGGTGAAGGGAGCTAAACTATTTAGGAAAGTGGTGAACAGTGTGCCGCCATCCCCACTAGCTTTGACCAAAACTGGCCTCCAAAGGTGAATCCTACTCTCTTTTCTACGTTCAAACTTGCTTTTAAGCTTCCCAGAAACTCCCCAAGGGAGCCTTTGTGAGTCGTGACCATCTTCTCTTCTTCTCCTCCGCCATATATCAATACCCACCTCTCTCTTCAAACAACTTCCTCTCCTTATGGCTTCTTCTTACACTACCCTTGATTCCTCCGCCAATTCCAACGCCTTCAGTTTCTCAGGTCACCCCTTCATGACTACCTCTTTCTCTGATCTCCTCGCTTCCGGCGCCGCCTCCAACGATAATACTTCTTCCAACGAGGCCAAGCGTGGTGGCGGATTGTCCTTGTCCGATCGGATTGCTGAGAGAACCGGCTTAGGTGTCCCTAAGTTTAAGTCTCTTCCTCCTCCTTCACTACCTATCTCTCCTCCTCAGGTGTCTCCTTCTTCTTACTTTGCTATCCCCCCCGGACTCAGCCCCGCCGAGCTCTTGGACTCTCCTGTTCTGTTGAACGCTTCAAACGTAAGAATCTTTGCATCAGAAATGATATTATAAAGCTTTCCTTTTTTGCATTATCTGATTGGAGTTATAAAGCTGTTTTGATTGATGGGTGTTTCTTATTTTTACAGATTCTGCCATCTCCAACCACTGGAACTTTTCCACCTCAAGCTTTCTTCAATTGGAAACCCAGTTCTGGAAATAACCAGCGGAACGTCAAACGGGAAGACAATAACTACGATTTCTCTTTCCAAACTCAGCCAAGACCAGCCACCGATTCTTCAACCACGTTTCAATCCTCAACCAACGCGATTCAAACAGTAAGTAAATCCTTCTTCAAAGCAATTCAAGTCCATTTTTTTCTTTTCAGAAGAACATTTTTCATTGAATTTATTGATTCAGGCACAACAGCAAGCATGGAGTTTCAAAGAATCCGCCAAGGAAAACGATTTTTCCTCGGGGAAGAACATGGTAAAATCCGAGTACAATCAGATGCAGAGCTTCTCCCCTGAGATTGCCAACATTCAAAGCAGCTCCCAAAGCTTCCAATCGGATTACGGAAATTACCAGAAGCAATCCCAGTCAATCAGAGGGAACCGGAAATCCGATGATGGATACAATTGGAGGAAATATGGACAAAAGCAAGTGAAAGGAAGCGAGAATCCAAGAAGTTACTACAAGTGCACGTACCCCAATTGCCCAACGAAGAAGAAAGTTGAGCGGTCCTTAGACGGGCAGATAACCGAGATAGTTTACAAGGGTAGCCACAACCATCCTAAGCCTCAGTTGACGAGGCGATCATCGGCTTCTTCGTCTTCCATTGCTATTCAGACTTCGAGTGCAGCTAGCTCCGAGATTCAGGAGCATTCACTTATAACTTATGGCAGTGGACACATGGATTCTGTTACAACAACTGAGAATTCTTCTGTATCAGTTGGGGATGATGATTTTGAGGGTTCCCAGAAGAGTAAATCCGGAGGAAACGAGTTCGATGAAGACGAGCCTGAGGCTAAAAGATGGTATGTTTGTATTTCATATTGTAAATTCTTGTCTTCCTGCTTGGTACTGATATTAATTTTTTTTGTTTCTGCTGAACTAACATTGATATTACTTGTTGTTTCCAGGAGGAATGAAGGTGAAAATGAAGGAATTTCAGCACCTGGGAGTAGAACAGTGAGGGAACCAAGAGTTGTAGTTCAAACAACCAGTGACATTGATATTTTGGATGATGGATATAGATGGAGAAAATATGGGCAAAAAGTGGTCAAAGGAAACCCGAATCCAAGGTAATTTTCTGCTTCATTTAAGTGACAATTGTTCTAAGGATGTCCCAGTGTTTTCATGCCTTGAAAAATGGGTTCTGTCTCTCTGTCTGTCTTTCAAGAATATAAGGTGTAGCTTTAAACTTTCTTCACTCTTCAATGGGGAATGCTTTAAAGTTATTTGTTTCTTTATTGGTTTCGGTGTTCTAAGTTTTGACCGGCAATGCCTACAGGAGCTACTACAAGTGCACACATCCAGGATGTCCGGTGAGAAAGCATGTGGAGAGAGCCTCACATGATCTTAGGGCAGTGATCACAACCTATGAAGGGAAGCATAACCATGACGTTCCCGCAGCTCGCGGCAGCGGCAACCATTCGGTCAATAGACCATTACCCGACAACAACAATGGGGCATTGGCAATAAGGCCATCACCTGTTAACAATCCGATGAGCAACAACCCTCTTCGTGGTTTGAGGGCATCGGAAGGTGAATCGCCCTTCATGCTGGAGATGTTGCAGGGAGCCGGAAACTTCGGGTTCTCGGGATTCGGAAATTCGGGAGGGTCTCTGATGAATCAGCAACATGATGTAAACAAGATGTTCTCCAGAACCAAGGAAGAACCGAGAGACGAAGCGTTCATCGAGTCATTGCTGTACTGAAATTAGTCCAAAAAAGCATATGAATAAGAAGCTCAGGTTCATTTAATTTATTACATTCTGTTTGTTTGTTTGTTGTATATTCCACGATTTGATTTAGGATGGTGTAAAAGTATACGATTTTTTCATTTGTTTTGAGGCCACTCTGCCTTGGGGCTGGACATGAACATGATGATTTCCCTTTTTTTTTCTTGTATCATCACATGGCGGTGATCCATTTTGCTCTTTAATTTGTTAAAATGGTACGTCATGATATCATAGTTGAACCGTCATGAGTTACATAAGCAAGATTTGAATTAAGAGGTTTGAACGGGTCAAAAATGTAGAGCTGTGGATATTTTAGTCAAGGTCAACTTGCAATTACGGGCAGATTACAGATGGATGGTTCCGTCTCGAATGAATCTAGACATTCGAGAAAGGGCAAGGTAAGGACTTACATAACTCAAATAAAAATGGGGTAAATTTCGTATTTAGTCACTCGTCTATTTTTATAATTTTGATTGTCATTCAATTATTTTTTTAATAATATTAAACAGTAAGTTTTGATTTTGTATTGATCGTCTATCATTGAAAAAATAATGATGATTTAATATATTATAATAAAATAATACTAAATTATCATTAAAAAAATTAAAAAAAATTATTATATCAATAATTAATTTAATGATAAATGATTAAAAATAATTAAAATATAACGTTAAATATAATTTTAAAAAATAATTTAATGATCGAACGAATAGAAGAATGACTAAGTTCATAATTTACCCGTAAAAACAGGAGTGGTGGGACATTTCCGTGGTGCACACGGTGCTGCATTTAAAGAAAAATTTCAAGTGGGCCCTCGTTTTCCTAATAACAACAAACAGTCAGATCCAGGTCCGCATTGACGCGGCCATCTAATATCTATCTACATTCACATCTGCTGTTCCTTAATAATCCCATCATTAAGCTTTGTTAATTATATTAATTAATCATGCGGCTGCCTTTGTTTTGGTTGCTTATTAATTAATCATTGTCAAATAGTTAATGCGGGGTGAGATCCCAACCATTCCCAATTTTCAAGGTTTAAGAAAGCACAGACAGACTATGAAAAAGCAATCACCATTAGAACACCACAAGCTCTCCGGATGTGTACGTCTGAACTGTGAAAGATTTGTCCCAAGTGAATTATTGGCTAATTTATAACAATAATATTCATTTCAAATACAATTATGAAAATAGCATGTAAATAATATTAATTCTAAAAACACTGTTAATTATAAAACTATTTTAAGCTGATCACGTCTTTTTCCTACGTGGAAAGGTGTATCAAAACATTACTTTTTGATTGGTTGGTGAAAGAAGATATGAATTAATGTTCGTGTCTCCCATTTTAACTTTTATTTAATAAAATTTTCACATTATTCTAATTCATTTAAATAAATTAGTTTATATAAGTCTTATTTAAATAATTAATTGTAAAATAATTGATACTAAATTAATTTGTTTTCATAAGTACTAATGTTTGATAAATATTTGAAAGGATTATGTTATACAAAATAAAAAATATGATTTTTTATATTAGAATGGTTGAGTTGGTATTTATAATGAAAGAAAAAAAAATATTAATCATCCCACTCACAAATGCTCTATCTAAATAGGTCTATGTGAATCGATTTCATAGTGATTGTCATTGGTTACATGTCGAATCTCTTCATATTAGGCATTCTTCAACATGATCATCATTATCATCATCACTAATAATTTGCTCATTATCACCATGTACTAACATGACAAATTGGTTCATTGATGCACCCGAATCATACATTGATGGATGATAATTGTGAAGAATAATGATTGTAGAGATATCTTATCAACAATCACATTGTTAAATGGAATCAACAAAAATTTGAGGAATGACGTCGTTGAATAGGAGGTTAGTAATTGATATTGTTGTGGCAGATGATCCACAAACATGTAGAATTCGTCTGGCATGATAGTACTTGTGTATACAATTTTGCATTGAACTCAATGAGATTGAAATATACTACATCAACGGGATCGATGACAATGATTGTATAGACCGTGGGGTTTGGATAGTACAAACGAGGAAGAGTCGAAAGGATTTCTCTTCTCTAGTTAACGAGGGGAGGGGATGGTATTGCATCGATGAACGATTTTTCCTTTTAGTGATGAATCACTTGGGCTCGATCCGTCTTAGATAATTGACACCTATTGCCATAAGTCATAAACCACGACATATAATCTTCTAAAAGTATCATATCAAGACTTAGAATTAGTTATTGATAGGGTATAAGGGTCTCTCGTGAGCCCACATTACTAATCATTCTATGTACTACTGGTCCCAATCCGTGTTTGATTTATCTTATCTGTCGATTTCGTGCATTTTGTCCAAGTCCATAATTGGTCCATAAAACATATTGTGCGTATAGCTAAGTGGTTATGCTTTAGCTTTTGTTTCCAAAGGATCATATTTCAATTCCCTCCAATTGCAAAATTTTAACCATTTTATTATCAATATTGTGTCGTTTTGGTGTGTCTACAATGTCGACAATCGTCATGTTCCATTAGTTATTTAATGATTGGTATAATGAAACGAGAATAAAAGTTCAGTGCAATAATTTAAAAAAAATGAAAGCTCAATGACATACATGATTTAATGCTTAAAGTTCAGTGGTATCTGATATATTTTACCAAAAAATATCATTTTTATTTGATAAAATAAATTGTTAATTGAAAAAAATATAGGGAACAATTATATTATTTATTTCAAATTAAATCAAGTATTTTATCTGAAATCTAAATATAATCCAATTTTATTTCTCGCAAAATTCAGCCAAACTGGAATTGGGTAAAATGACCATCCGAATTGAAGTTTGATCAGGGCTATGTCTCGCGTAATAGATGGATAGGTCCGGATCACGGCCCAACAACAACAACATGTTCACGTTTGCATCATTAACTGTAAACAAATAGCAGAACTCTTGTTTAACATGGATTTCAGGGGTACAAACCAAGTGACTTGAGTAATAAAAGAATTATTGTTGTTTCTTAAGGTTCTAGATTCAAGTATTATGAATGTTAGGGGTGTAAACATTCAATATTAAATGATTGAAAGTTATATTTAAACAGATATTACCTTGTATTTACTTCATATTAATAATAATTTAAAAAAAAACATAGATTTCACTTTAAATAATTTGCATCCGGTAATTATATTATTCTCTTTTCATTGTAATATAAAATCCTTAATACAGAGAAAATCTGCCTACTTCTCTCCCTCGGGAATTGGTGACCAAAGCTTGCACACGGCCCGATTATGGAACCTGTCCATCTAAACATTTTATTTTTCTAATCATGAAATTGGATTAATGTGTTTGACGAATCAACCAATGAAATTATAAAGGGATTTTCCAGCTTGTTTTTTGCAATTATTACTATTTGCATTGTTTTTTTTACAATACAGATCATGCGGTTATTTAATTATTTTTCAGAATCAGTATTTTTATACAAGGATTTAAGCTTGTCGTCTTCCCAGCACAACACCTAGCTCCTCCTCCTCCAACCAATCAAGATCCAAAAGCAACAATATCATATGATTTTTTTATTTGGTTCAACTAATTGATTTAAGTTAGATATAAAATTTAACCAATATTTAAAATAACAAAATGATTAATTCTCAACTAATTATGCTCATCGTGCTTGTGCAATAAAAGAATATATAAAACGAAATCAATCCTATAATTATGGACACCAATTGAATTAATTATGATGCGAAGTCAATCCAATATTTATTACACCTTTTTTGCAAAATGAAATCCAAACAACTGTACAAGGTTAAAGATTTGTAAATGATTAATTAATAAAATGATTTGTAAATGATTGAAAAGCAGTGTTGAATTTGATAAAACGAATCCGCCACTATTACACGCTGACCCGATAAATATTAGGTCATTAAAAGTAGATTATATTCACAAAATGTACATTCCGTCACCAGAAAAAAGTCGTTAGTCCTCGGAGATTCTAGCGAGATGAGGCCGCCATACTCGTTCACGACTGTTTCGACGATCTCTGTGACTGCGGCCGTAACGCTTCGTTTCTGAAACACCGGCGTTTAGTAGGGAACGATTATCGGAATCGGAAGCATCATTTTGGTCGCATTTTTTGCTCTCGGTGAAAGACTTTTTATGGCGTAAGTGCCTCTTTTTCTTCTCGTCAGTCGGTAACGAAGATTTGGGGATCAAAAAGTAAATGCCGCCTCTTTTGAGGTGCGATTCAGGAGATATGATCAAAATTTTGCGTGCAACACCTTGAGAGTTCGGTTCCTTTAAGATATGATTAGGGTTGGCGTCGAGGATCTCGGCGGCGGTTACCGGCCGCGTGATTTCTTCGACGTGGCCGTTTAAATGGACTATACGGATGAGGTCTAGAACTCCACAAGGAAGAACACAAGCCAAACAACACCGTAAACTATTGCCCATCTCTCAACTTTTCAGAATTCTCATCTTTCTTCCTCGGCCATTTTTCTTTCTTTATATACACACCAGCAGCCGTACTCATATGCACTGGAGGCTAAAAATATACTATATTTTAATTATTATTCAAGATTACGAAACTGTCCTGCTCATAAACCTAAATATATATATTATATACACGTATAAAAGATTAGGTTTTAATCAATAAATAATTAGTTTTATATTTAGAGTAATTTTTTTATATATACAAAGTGCATTGAATCTTAAACCATGAATATATTGATTTTTAAAATTGTATATCTAAATTTCAAATTTTAAACCCTAAATAAGGTATTTGCCATCAATAAAATAAATAAATTTGTATGAATTAAATTTTATATAATTTATCTGTTAGATAACTTTTCATTTATTAATGTATTATAATTTTATAAATGATGTGATGTGCTAAAAAAGATTAATTATTTATTTAAAATTTTACTTATTTGAATTTATTTTTGTATGTAGTTCATAACATTGCGTAAATTTAATATTGACTTTGTATCAAATATAAACATTTAATTATTTATATTAATACTTGAAATTACATTGTTCTTAATGTTGCCCATGTATTGTAAGTGTCTTGTAGGGTTGAGTAAAACTCGTCTCGACTCGAAAAAATTTCAAGTTCAAATTGAGTTGTAAAATACAACTTGAATAACTCAAAATTTTTAATAATTAGTATATTGATTTCAAGTTTGAGTCGAAGTATGAGTTGAGTCCCTCGACTTTGTATAGTATATGTAAATTACATATGAAAAATACGAAAATATATATATGTATTATATATGGTTATAAAATAACATTTAAATTTGAATAAAATAATTTCATAATATTGTAAATATTTACAATTAAATTTAAATAAAAAATTTGACTCGACTCGACTTGAAAAAATAACTTGAAATTTTTTACTTAACTCGACTCGATCGAACGCTTACTCCTAGTGCCTTGTACATGAAATTATGTTAAGACGCCGTTGAGCTGTAAGTGCCTTGTACATGAAATTAGGTTTTGTGATTGGGAAAGCAAAGCGATTTTTGTTCACCACTTAAAATATGTTGCTTAGCTTGAATTGCTTTGAGACGTATGGCCGCTGACGTTATAGATAAGCCATGGCGATCTAAATATTATCCGCACATGCTATGCCTAATATATTTAAAATAAATAAAGAGTTTGCATTTTAGAGTTAAAAAGAAATATCAAATGTAGAACTAATTTGCCTTTGAGTTTTAATTTGTTTCCTACTTAGGTAGTGTGCTATTGAATTCATCGACGAATAGTTGAAGTATAACGGTGAAACAGTGATTAGAGGCCGTCGTGGATGATTTACTCCTTCTATCTCACTAAATGTGTCTCTTTTGATTTTTAAAATTGTCTCATTTAAAATGTGCTGTTAGAAAAGTCGACAAACAATAACACTTATATTTTCTTTTTTACCATTGTATGTAACACTCTTTTAACCCTATCAAAATAAATCTATCAAACTTATCAATCACTTTTTAAGGATAATTTTATCATTTTCTTTGGTTAAATATATCTTCTAAAATTATATACATAATAAATATAAGATACAAATTATGAAACGGAGGGAGTATTCTTTTGAAGTGGGCTGAGATTCATTAATAGTGATGGTTTAAACTCCTATATGAGTGCCTTGATGTGGATGGAGGAAGAAAGGATATAATGGTTCTCGGATCTCTATTTGAGGAAAAGGAAGAAAATTCTTTTTTGTTGAGAGAGAAGGTAAATTACCCTTTTACCCTTAAATTTATAGGATGATTATTGAGAGTGATTGATGGAAGCCCGGATTAGTCTCACAAATGTTATTTAATATTTATTTATTTATTAGTGAAGTAATAATCATCTCTCAAGAGCATTATATAATTACACGATGAATTTGGAACAATGAATCTGAGATACTATTGGTGTTAGTAAAAATTCTAATGGGATTGCGGCGACGAATGGTTCACTTCTTTTTATTTGGATAGAAGGAAAACTGCTCAATTCTTATGCCGTTCTGACATTAAAGTATCTGTTGAAAGATTTTGAAAAATCAAGATGATCGACCAAGTGTTTTAACAATTTAGAAACAATTGTTTTATTGACTTTGTATTGTACAAAGAATATCTCAGTGCGATAAAAAAAATTAAATAGATGTCTCAAAGGTGAGCGATTACAATATAACTAAGGGTATTTTTACTTTGTATAAACAAAAATGTTAATAATTATCTTATATATTACACCGAAAATAATATTAAACAAACAAAATTCAATCATTTTTAGTATAGTTCTTATTAATTATTCTAAATTTCCAGAAACCAAATTAACTTAATATTCATGATCTGAACGAATATTCTAAATTACTTTTTCCGCAGCTTACATTATCAACAACAACACAAAATGACAAAAAAAAAAAAAAGAGGCTAACTACTTATAACTAAAACAAAGAAAATAGGAAGAGTTTGACCAAAAGGGTTTCTTAGGAAAGTAAAGAATAATAAGTTTTGTATTATACATTGAATCTTAAAGAAAAGTATATTGTGAATTAAGAAGTAATAATGGTAAGATTAAAGGCAAAGGATAGATGGCGTATGTAGGCCTGTAAATGAACTGAACGTTCAGTGAATCGTTCATGAACCGTGCGGCAGGAAGTTCGTTTATGTTCGTTTATTTATTAAATGAACGAATATGAACAAGATTTTGCGTTCGTTTAATTAAATGAACGAACATGAACAAATGTCTCGTTCCTTCATTTACGTTCGTGAACGTTCGATTATATGTTCGTTCATTTATGTTCGAACAGAGGACAAGTTGAATATGTTATGAAGATTATCAAAGTTGTTTGGATTTCAAGAAGATTGTTTTGTTGAATAAATTAATTTTAAGATTTTATTATGTTCATATAGCTTATTTATGATTTATGTATGTTTTTGTCGTATTCGAACAAATTATCTCTAAAGTTACAGGTTATATGAATGAATTTTAAGTTGTTATTCTTGTTGTTTACTTTTTTCACATTCATTTGTTGTGTTCGAATAAGTTTTTTTTGTGTTTGTGTTGTTCGTTTATGTTCGTTCGTTCGTGTTCGTTTATGTTTGTTTATTTATTAAATGAACGAACATGAACAAGCTATATTTCTTAATGAACGAACATGAACAAAAAAAAATTTGTTCGTTTATTTATTAAATGAACAAACATAAACATACCTGCGTTCGTGTGCGTTTGGTTCGTTTACAGGCTTAGGGGTATGGAACGAATTGGGCCATCATCACTTATAGCTAATATAGGAAGGAAACAACATTAATCTGTTTTAAAGAAATTTAGGTTTAATGTAAAAATAATTGATTAAATTATACTTAAATTAATTTTAGATATATAAAGTATTTTTTTTTAAAATAAGTGTATGTTATTTTTGGCGTTGTACTTTTAGGTGTTTAGACAATGACGAACATTAAAAAAAATCATTATCCGACATGTTTCACTATTATATTTTTAAAAAATAATATTATTTAAAATATATTTTTGGGTAATCTATGTCAAATACCACTAACCTTTATGCTCGGGATCGAAAATGCCACTGACGTTTCAATTTTGCCAATTTTAGCACAGACGTTAATGTTTCACTTCAATTTTTTCACTCCGCTGTTAATCTGTTAACGGCACGATGACATGGCATGGACGGGCCGTGACGACGATGACATGGACGGTTTATTAAAACGATGTAGTCTTGCCAATGACTATTTGTATTCCTAAAACGATGTAGTTTTATAGTTTTGTGTTTTATTATTCCCGAAACCCATTAAACAATTCATTAGTATTCCATTTTTTTTAAAACTTTGCGTTGGTTTCCCAAATACAACCCATCAGATGAATGAACCAAAAGTTTTCGTGCATTTCGTTCATTTGTATTCCAAAAGAGTCTAAAAATTCTCTCTGACTGAAAAAAGATTTCATTCATTTCATCTATGACTGCAAAAGCAAAATGGAGAAACGATTCTTGCGATCGAAAGGAATGGCGAGCATGAAATACGGTAATGGCGTTTGAAAAGCCACTGACATTTTTTTTAGTTTTTTTGAAATACTTTTAGGTTTTTTTTATAAAAACACTCTATCTCTAACTATTTGTTGTTTTCTTCGTTAATTATGTAACTTAAATATGGTTTTATTTCTGTTTTTGTATTCCAAAGAGTCTAAAAGAACTGACAGTGTTATGACTTTTATTTCTGTTTTTGAAATATGGTTTTATTTCTGTTGTTGATTTCCCACATGATTTTTATTCTGTTGCATATGACTGTATTGAACGAATAGTTGTTGTATTCCAAAAGAATTGACAGTGTTTTATGTTGGTGCATATCAATGTAATTATTTGTTGTATTCCAAAAGAGTCTAAAATATGATTGTTGTTGCCTTCCCATATGATTTTTATTCTGTTGCATATGACTGTATTGAACGAATAGTTGTTGTATTCCAAAAGAATTGACAGTGTTTTATGCTGGTGCATATCAATGTAATTATTTGTTGTATTCCAAAAGAGTCTAAAATATGATTGTTGTTGCCTTCCCATATGATTTTTATGTCGGTTCCTATGACTGTATTGAATGAATAGTTTATCCATATAAATGTATATTGGTGGATGTTGGCTATTTTTAAATCTTTTTATGGTCGGTGGTTGTTGCATCAAATTTGCTGCATGTATGATTAATTGTTCTAAAGTTGTCATCAATGGTGGTCCCAAATTTTAGTTTTTTACAAGTCATATGCTTGCCCATCTATTGGTTTTGTGTACTTGTTTGCTATCAGTGTTGTAAAAGTAGTGTAAGGGGACCACCAGTATTGTAAAGTAAATTTTTAATGCTGACTGATTTTAATGCATTTTTACAGGTAGGGAATCTGAATATTTCACAATTGTTATGCACCATGGTGGCTTTATGGTAAATTCATCTGCTTTTAAATACACTGGAAAGGAGGTA